TGTTGGAATTACAGGTGCGAGCCACCACGCCTAGCAGGTTACCGCTTTCTTACGTACATACCCCACACGAGTCGGGGGGCACTCTGCTCCACACGGTCACTGAGGGACCCAGGCTGAAGGAGGCTCCACCGTGTTGTAGTGGCACCATCTGGGACATGAGATCTTACTTTTGTCACAGCTGTGGAGGACAGAAAGGCTGGAGAATTTCACCTGGCCTCAGCCCTCAGTGAGAAATGTCACTTATGCTCACATTTCATTGGGAGTACTAGCCACACCAACCTGTCTACACTGTAAGGAGGGCTGGGAAGTGTAGGAGAGCACCTGGAGTAACGGGGAGCATACTGTCATGGCCACATGTGATACAACTATTTAAAACAGAAGAAAGTTAAACATGAAATTCAAGATAATGTTTATGTCGGGATGGGATGGAACACACAGGGAAGGGTCAGTGATTTGTAATATTCTAGTTTTTGTTTTGAGCAATGAGTGTTAATTATATTATTTTTCAAAAAATGAATGCACGAGTGAATAGATAAATGAATAAATAAAAGACAGGGCTCAGAAGCAGCAGCACTGAAGCCTAACCTGAGTCTGGGCCAAAAACGGCCCTTCAGTAAATATTCACTGAGCTCCAGGCTGAGACTGCTAGGCCTCGAAGGTACCACGACGAATAAAATACGGGCTCACCCACTCCAGGCTGCCACTCGGAGGGTTCAGCAGGCACGCACACCAAGCCGGCCACGGCAGAGAGCTTGCTCGCCAGCTCTGCAAGCCAGGGGAGCTCTGACACGGCCTCACCCCAAGAGGTTGTGCAGGTTGGGTTGTGAAGGATCAATAGGAGTTCAACAGGTAAAGAATGGAGTGAGGCGGGGTGGGTTGGTCAGGAACACTTAATCCAGGAAGAGGGGACAACATGTGGAAAGGCACAGAGTCCTTCACTGCTCAGGTGGCCTGTGGTCCCAGCATTTCCTTACCTTCCAGGCCCCAAGTGATCTGGTCAGCCCATTCCCGCTCAGGACCCCCTGCGGGACCCAGGCATTGTTCTCCCCAGCGGCTGCCAGGAGCGCTGGCCTCAGGTCAGGAAGCTCTCTTGCCCGAGGCCCCGTGCCCCCTACTTCAGGGGCAGCCGTCCAAATGTCCAAATGACTGGCAGAGGTGAAGGTATAGAGGCCTAGCCCCCATGCTTCGATTCAGGGGACTCTGCAGGACCCTCCTAGCTCCAGAGCTTCTTGTGGGATCAGCTGAGGCCTCTCCAGGGCCTCCAGCCTCCAAAAGAGCCTAACTCCTCTCTTTGCCCAATTCTGTTTTCTTTATACCTGGACAGGCTGTTAATTGTGAATGCACTCCCCAATAAACCTCCTTCAAACAAATCTCTACTTCAGAATGTGTTTTCTGGGAAACTTATCTAACATACCCACTAAAGTGTAAATAATTTCTAGGGGTGTTTTTCCTGCAGATGTTTGTACAGCAATAATAATAACTAACATTTATGGAGTGATTTCTATGTGCCAAGGTAAGCACTTTGCCTATATGATCTTATTTAATAAAGAATAGAACTTCATGCCAAAGGAATGAATTTCTAATGGTGAAATTTCAGGGTTAGGCAAGTAGGTTTGGGAGGCTAGAAGTGTTTGTGTAGCACAAATTCTGTCACAGATTTTTTTGCGTTAATATATGGTCAGTCCTGGTCCTTATGCTGACTGGATAAAGCCCCAGAAGGTCAGAGTGGGGGCTCGCAATCTCATTGTCCTTTTTTTTTTTTTTTTAAAGCAGGGCTTCTGCTCAGTACTGTGATATCTCTGTTCCGCCTCTTCCCTGGGGTCTCACTTCTTGGGAGCCTGTGTAGAGGTGAATTCCTCTGAAAGCTGACTGCCCCCATTTGGGACTCCCCAGTCCTTTTCTGAGAAATGGTGACATTGTTCCTAGCACTTCCTCTCCCTTCCTGGGTAGCTCCTGCAGCCACCGCTGAGCCCTCCTCACATCCTCCTTCTACAGGCTTGGGCTCTCCATCTTTCTTTTCTGTCATTCCCGCCACCCTGATCTGGGGTGGGGGCTGGTCTGCACCCTCTTGTCCCCCAGGCTGAGCCTCCCTCCATCCCTAAGCTGCCTGCTTCCTGGGAGCATGCTCAGGCAGCACGCTGTGGTCCCGACTAGCCCTCTGGGCCCTAAGAACATGTCCCAACATGTCGAGCCCTGGCTCAGAAGAGGCTGGTGGCTGTTCTGTCCTTGGGGCTGCCTGCTTTGGGGTGAGGAGGGGAATGGTAGGAGACAGGAGACCCCCCAAAGACCCCAGGTAGACCTTGGCCTGAGTTTCTCTGAACAAAATATGTGATTCGCAACAGCTCCCTCGGTGCGTGTGTGCTTGTGTGTGCTGGGGGTCTGGGGGGGCGGGGGGAGGTCAGATTTTGTGTGTGACTTCTAACAGTCTAATCTGCTCCCTTGCCCTCTTCGGGGCACAAGTCCACGCTTGGAGAGGATGTGCGGCTGTACATTCAAATGCGTGGTTACAAACATTTTTAAAAAGTACTGAATGGTACTAGACAATTAGTAGGCGCCTAATAAATATCTGTGGAATACTGTGGTGGTGGTGGTGAGCTAGAAGTCATAAAAAAACTTTACTTCCCAACAACAACAACAAAAAGAATTATTTCATTGTGAAGCTTGGTACCACAAAACTTTAAATAATTCATTACAAGCCTTCATTAAAAAAAAATTTTCCCCAAAGTAAACAGACAGACAATGTCAGTTCTATCTGAAATGCCTGAAAGCCAAGGGGACTCGAGGCAGCAGGAGGATGTGCCTGTCCTCTGCTGGACATTGGACAACCCAGCCTCTGGATGGCATGGGTGCTGGGGAGGAGCCGGGCTGGGGGCGGGACGGGGTCGTGCGACCATGGCTACAAACCTGGGCCGGGCAGGCCGGGGCGTCTGGCGCTCCCCGCACGACCCGGGCTCCCGGCCCCGCAGTGGACTAGAGAGAAGCCTGTCCTCCCTGAGGTCAGCTGCGTTAGAGGAGGAAGACTGGGCATGTCCGGGCAGAGATTTCCAGACACGGAGCAGCCGAGATTTCAGTAACTGTAGCTGCTTCGAGCCTGGGTTCTCCGTCTTAGAGGAATTGCTGTGCAGATTAACACGCCATTCTCCGCAACGTTTTGAAGCCAAACTGTACCTGTCTCAGGTGAAGAGAGAGGCAAGGGCGAAGTCCAGGGGAGCCTGGGCGTGTGGGAGCGGGAGGGAGCAGGAGGGACGCCTCGCTCACTCCTGCATCTGTCAGGGGCACCAGTAGACGCTTCCCAAATTGTCCTTTAAAGTCACCTCGGTAACCTGCCTGGAAACGAGGGCTGCTGGGCACTCCCGTCATCCCGGAGCCCCGAAGCAGACGACTCGGCCAGAGCCCGGCAGGCGGCGCAAGGCTGCGTCCCCACCACGGCAGGTCGCCGGACCTCGCGAGCCTCAGTTTCCCCAGCAGCATGTGTGGGCTGTGTGGGGACTCTCCGGGCGACATCTCCCTCGCCAGACCCTTCCCCCCTTGCTCGGGTCACAGTGCTGGCTTCTGGTGGCGGGAGGTGAGCGCAGGGCCAGGAAGCCGGTTCGGCGTCAGTCGCTGTTTCCCCTGGAGACCAGGCTGGCCCTTTTGAGGAGTGTCCCCAGTTCCCTCCTTCTCCGAGACAGCTGACAAGCAACAGCTGCATACAGGTTCCTGGTCTGTGAAATAAAGGGGACCGGGCACCATTCTGGCCTCAAAGATGCTGTGCGGGGCGTCCGGGTGCGCCCGGGGCTCCCGGCGAGGGGGTCTGGAGAGGGGCGTGGTCGCGGGGGTGTGGGGGGATCCTCCGGGCGCTGCAAAGAGGGGCGCATCCTTTCTATTATGCATCGATTTTTATTTATGGATGTCACTCCCGATCTCTCAACTGCGTGTGCGAACCCTTGCCCAGAATTGGCGCCTAACAATGCCGTGCCCTCTGAGAGGGGCGACTCGCTTCCCAACTTGGAAAACGCCCGATTTGCGGCTCGCGGCGGGGAAATGTGTCAAGTGCACAGTCCCGGCGCGGGGGAGCGGAGGGGGGAGGGGAGGGGGAAGCGCCCTCCTGCGTCGCGCGAGGTTCCCAGACGGCCGGCCCGCTGGAACCCGGCCAGGCCGGGCGCTGGGCCCCGAGGCCCGCGGAGGCGGTCCCGGGAGGCGCCGTGGGCCGGGCGGCGGTTCCGCCTCGGAGGCGGGCCGGCGCGGGGCGGGGGGCGGAGGGAAGTGGCTATATTAGGGCAGCGCGGAGCCGCGCCAGCAGAGGTGTGAGCAGCCGCCGAGCGAGCGTCTTGGAGGCCGGACCGGGCGCGGAGTCACAGACACCAAGACACTTGGGAAGGTGAGGGAGCCGCGGCAGGCGACGGCGACCCCGGCCGGCGGCCCCGCGTGTCCGCGCGTGTGCGTGTCCGCGCGTGTCCGTATGCGTCTGCGTGTCCGTGCGCGCGCGGCGCTCACAGGTGTTTCCGCGGCAGGCGAATGGCGCGCGTGGGTCTGTGCGCCCGCTTCGCGCACACGGGTGTCGGCAGCTGCGCGTGCGACGGGGGTCGGGATGTGCCGGAGACTCGGGGACAGAGCAGGAGCACGCATGCGAGGGAGCCGCTGCCACGCGCCCTCCGCTCGAAACTCACCGGCGCGAGGACGGCGTGGAGGGGCCGCCTTGGAGCCTGTCCCTGGGGGCGGGTGCGCCCCCGGCCCCGGGCGCCGCTTGCTCGCGGCTTGGGGATGAAGCCGGTGACCCTGGAGGGGCCCAGGAGGGGCGGGTGACGCAAAGTGGAGCGAGTTCGTCTGGGATCTGTCCCGGGCGGCTCTCGGATCCAATCGGTACCGCCCTAGCCAGGTCCCTGACGTTCCGGCCCCCTATGCCGCTGCGTCCGCCCCCCGGCTGGGCGCTGAGGTCAGCGCGGGCTATGTCCCTGGCCCTTGGGTGGGTGCCAGGACACGTCCCCTAGGACAAGCGAGGTGACTCACCGTGACAAGGAGACCCCTGGGAACGGACCGCGCCCGGGCTGGGAACAGTGGCACCCCAGAAGCCCCTCTCCCTGCCCCTCCGCAGCGTCTGTGCCCCATCGGCACGGTGACTACTCGGCTGGCACAGCGTGTTCCCAGGGAAGCCGGGGCACCGAAGGTCCAGGACCCGCTGTCGGGTTCCACCTCCGCGGCGCGCCCTCGAGGGCCAGGAGCCACGGCCCCGCGCGGGGCTGGCCCTCACCCGGCTGCCAGGCGGGGACGTGCGGGGGTCGCACCCGCCTCTTTCCCACCTTGGCCGGGAGAACGCCGCCCGCCCTTGCGTGGGGGCGCGGGGCTCCAGGCGAGAGCCTAGCGCGACGCAGCGGAGGGGCGGCCGCCCGAGCTCCCGCCTTTGCGGGGCGCGGATTCTAGGGGCGCGACGCTGCTCAGGGCCTCGGTCCGCTGCCGCGGGGGCTCGGGGCGCCCCAGCCTAGCCCGGAGTTTTTCTCCGAAGGCAACGGGGCTGCCTGGAGCGGGACGGCGAGTCGCCCCTCGGGTGCCGCTGCCCTGCGCGGGCCACGGGGCGTCCGCCCTGCCTGGCACCCCCGGGGGACACTTGCGCCCTCGGTGCGGAGAACCCTGGACCTGGGTTCGGCGTTTGGGGGCGCCCGAGCAGCTTCCTCTCTCCTTCCCTCCCTCCACGTCGCGTTTCTGGGAGAACTTTCGAGCGGTTTTATTTTCGTTGCTCCCGTCTATTTTTATTTTCCAGGGATCTGACTCATCCCGTGCTTTGGGCGTGGAGATAAGGTGGAGGGGCCCGATCTCGGCGCGCCTGTGCGCGCGTGTGTGACTGTGTGCGCGCGTGCGTGTGTCAGTGCGTGTGTGACTGTGCGCGTGTGACTGTGTGCGCGCGCGTGTGTCAGTGCGTGTGCGCGCGCGCGTGTGACTGTGTGCGCGTGCGTGTGCGCGTGTGACTGTGTGTGCGCGCGTGCGCGTTGTGTGTGACTGTGTGTGTGCGCGTGCGTGTGTGTGTGTGTGCGCGCGCGTGTGTCAGTGCGTGTGCGCGCGCGCGTGTGACTGTGTGCGCGTGCGTGTGCGCGTGTGACTGTGTGTGCGCGCGCGCGCGTTGTGTGTGACTGTGTGTGTGCGCGTGCGTGTGTGTGTGTGCGCGTGCGTGTGTGTGTGTGTGCGCGCGCGTGTGTCACCCCGCGCGAGAGCGCGCGCTTTCCCAACAGCCGCGGGAGTTTCGGAAGCCGGGCCGGCTCAGCGTGACGTGTTCGCCGCCCGCGGGCCCCTCCCGCTCTCCCCCTCCCCACCCCGGGGTGACGCGCAGCCCGAGTGGAAGCGAAGTTTTGGCGGGCGGGGAGCGCTTTGCAGGAAACTGACTCATCACGACTCCCCCCCGCAGTCCGGGCCCTACCCACGCGCCGCCCACCGCGCGCGATTTCCTGGACGCGCGCGCCCCCTCCTGGCCCCGGCGCGGATCGCAGGCGCTCTCCCGCGGCCGGCCGCTGGTCGGCGGGAACGGCCGCCGCTTCGCCTGGGCTCCACCCCATGAAAGAGCACCCCATTGCTTCAACGGCATTGACTGAGCTCTTCCAATTTGCCTGGAAGTTATAATAAAATATGGCTGAAGTCTAAGGCACGAAGGCCAACAAAGGAGGCT